AGGAACAGGAGGAAGAGGAGGAGGCGGAAAAGGAGGAAGAGGAGGGGGAAGGAGGAGAGGAGAGGAGATGAGGAAGACAACGCGGGGCGCTGTCTCGTCAAAACGAGGACCCAATGACACAGGATGGACAGGACAAATGGTTTCGCAACAAGCATATCTAGAAACATCTGCGCGCGCGCCTTTGCCAGCCCTTGAGTGGAAGATTTCTTATATCAGAAAAAAGTACTACCAAACGTGCCTCTCACCCGCGCGTGCCGAAATCGTCCGAACGCCCTTGCGCGCGTGCCGGGAGGCGGGGAAAGGGGGGAGATCTCGATCGAATAACACCACGCGGGCCACTCGCGCGCGTCGGCCGCGCGCGCGTGCTGGAATACTTACAAAACCACCATCACCGACGCGGGGATACCATCATCAGCATCATCATCATCACCATCATCATCACCATCATCAGCATCATCATCATCATCATCATCATCATATGCGCGATCAGCATCGGCGACGTCATTGCCACTGCCGTCGTCATTATCATCATCATCATCATAATCACCATCATCATCATCATCATCATCATCATCATCATCATCATCATCATCATCATCATCATCATCATCATCATCATCATCATCATCTAATCATCATCATCACCATCATCACCATCATCACCAACATCGCTACTACCATCACCGTGTCTGCCATTGTCGGTGTCGCCCTGGCACCGCGCCTGTGCGAGTCACCGGCTCGCACGGAAGTGCACGTGCGTCAGCGCGGCCTGCGAGACGCGCTGAGCAGCCGGCCGCTCTGCGCGCGAGCCTGCGCGCGCTAGCCCGGCCGCGGCGACGCGCGAGCTGGCGCCAAGCGGCCATCGAAATCGCCGCCGTATGGGTTTTGCAAACTAAGATGCGGGTGGGTTGGTGCGATGACTGCGCGAGCATAGGGGGTGGCAGCGCGCGAGGAAGTCAAAGTCAATTGAACCCCATCACCACGGGGATTGCACCGCATGGTTTGCACCATGACGATAGCACCACATTGATATTCATTCCTATCACAAAATTATGATGTACCTCCCCCCCAGATTTGGGAAGTATCCGTAAATAAAACGTCGTGCCATGTCAGCCAGGGCGATCTCGACTCGCTCCGCCATCCCTGTCACATGATACCATGCGCGCGCACTCGTTTATCACAAATCCTACTGCTTCAATAATCTCTTGCAGCGTATAGAACGAAAGCCACACGCGCGCGCGTCGTCGCGCGCGGCACGCGCTGGGGGGTGGGCCCTGCCGAGTGATGCCATGCGGGCCACTCGCGCACGTCAGCCGCGGGCGCATGTCAAAATCCCAAAGCCTCATCACCGACACGTAGACACCATCATCGTCATGGGCGTGATCAAACATCAATGCCGTCGGTGGCCTTTTCCGTTGTCATCGTCTTCGCGGTCGATGGCATCGCTGCAATCCTCGCCGCATCTGCCGTTGTCGACGTCGCCATGACACCGCGCCCGCCCGAGTCGACGACTCGCGCTGAAGCGCCCGCGCGCCAGCGCGGCCTGCGAAACGCGCTGAAGCCCCCGGCGGCCAGCGCCGCCGCGGCCAAGTCGGTCGCGCCTGACTGGCCGGCCGCTCCGCGCGCAAGCGTGCGCGCGCCAGCGCGGCCGCGGCGACGCGCCAGCCAGCGCGAAGCAGCCATCGCAAGTGCCGCCGCGTGGGTTTTGCAAACAACGTTGCGGGAGGGCGGGGGGTGGCAGCTTCAAGTTCGGCAAGGTAGATTGCGCAAAGTAGATGGCGTCATTTCGGTTGCGCACCACACTGGTCGTTGACAGCGCAGCATCGGTTCTCCTTTCTCAAAAAGAATTGGGATCTACCCCTCCCCCCCGCGGGGTTATGCGGCCCCCCTGCGGCGGTGCAGCGCGCGTACGATTCTGCCCCGTCGTTCACGCGCCGCCCCAGAAGGTTGGTCGACCCCCTCCCCCTCACCCCTGGAACATGAATGCGCGCGCACTCGTGTTCCAGCGACCATGAAAATGCAACAATCCATTTGCGAAGAAGTTAGGCGAATCCACGCGCGCGCGTCGTCGCGCGCGCGCGTGCGGGAACCCTCCGAGAATCTGCGGTTTCGCGCGGAATTCAAAATCGAGGCCCCGAGAACATATAAACGCCAAGTGTTTTGCAACTTCCCAGAAGATCTGCGCGCGCTCCGGGAATTTCCGAGAACCCCATGAGCTTTTCAGGATTTCGCCGCTGTGCGACAAGATGGGCTCCTCGCGCGCGCATGTCGGAATCATCTGGGCGCTTTCGAGCGCGTGCTCCGGGGGAGAGGCGCGATCCCTTTCGAATGATTCTGCGCGGGCCACTCGCGCCCGACGGCCGCGCGCGCGCCCCGAAATCCTCGCAAAACCTTGCCGGCTGCAGGTGGGCGCCATCATCGCCGTCTGCATGGTCAGCGCATCGGCGCCGTCATCGGCCTTGCCGTCGTCGTCGTCATCGTCGTCACCAACGTCGTTACTATCCCCGCCGTGTCATGCGATGTCGGTGTTGCCTTGGTACCGCGCCATTCCGAATCGTCGACTCGCCCTGAAGTGCCGCGCGTCAGCGCGGCCTGCGAAGCGCGCTGGAAAGTCCCTCGCGGCCAGCGTCGCCGCGGCCGCGTCGGTCGCGCTGGCCGCGCCAGACTGGCTGGCCGCTCCGCGCGGGAGCCTGCGCGCGCCAGCGCGGCCGCGGCGACGCGTCAGCCAGCGCCGAACAATCATCGGAACCGCCGCCGCGTGGGTTCTGCAAACCAAGCGCCGGGTGGGTGGGTGGGCTGACTGCGCGAGCAGTGGAGTTGACAACGTCGAATTCGGCAATGTGAATTGCGGCCAGTCGATTGCGCCGCGTATCTTGCCCCATTTTGCTGCGTGTCACCGAACTAGCATCCGCCATGGGTCGACGCCCCTCGGGGGGCGGTTCCAGCGGCACCTCTGCGGGCGCACTCGCTGCTGGCGCCGCTTGCGAGCGCACCCGCGCCTGCGCGATGCCGGCGGCACGCTGCTACCGCGATAAGAATGCACGAGCGCAGCTCAGATGCCGGCGGCACGTTGCTATCGCGATGCGGGCGGCGCGTTGCTATCGCGATTGCCATCGCGATGAGATGCTGCGCGATATCGGGTTCGTGTTCCGCTTCGGGCGCGCACCTCGCCGAACCCGATCGGCCAGCCTGCGCGCGGCCTCGTCCGGCCCCCGCGCGGGTTGGCAAGCCACCCCCGGGCACTGCACGGCGAGGCCCTCGGCGCGCCACCTCGCGTAGCGTTCGCGCGCTGGCATTGATTGCGCCGCGTTGGCAGTCCTTTCTCAGAAGAGACTAGACTCTACCCCGCCCCCTTCAGGGATTATCGGCCCACCTTTGCGGATTGCGATGTGCATGCGATTCTGTCCCATTTGTCCACCCCCCATATGAATGCATACCATCCCAACCGAGCTGGCACCGGCCCCCCTGCCATCCTCTGCAAAAGATATCGACGTACTCGCCATACCGACCCGCAGGCCCAACGAGGCGGCGACGTGGCGGCGACGGCGACAACATAGCCGCCAGACCGACCCGCAGGACCAGTTACATACTCCAGAAGTGAGAACCCCTAGGTGCAAGCACTGCTTGGGACGCACTGCTTGGGACGCACTGCTTGGGACACCATGGCCATGTGCTGATAACATACAAACCATGCGCCAAAACAGGACGCTCCCACCAGGAAGCGTTCTCACGACATGCCGTGCAAGCCGCAGAAGGTCATCACAGCAGTGCTAGTGGGCCGAGAGGAAGGTCAGTAGGCATCGCCTCCACTTGGTCGAAAGAGAGGGTGGAGGGCTCAGCTCGGGCAAGGGGCGGCGACCACAGGGACCGCCCCAGCAATTCGCGCATGGGCTCACCAGCCTGGAACATATCCCTATCCCTATGCTGGGCACCTCCTCATCACGATGCCAATCTTAGGGATTCCCTTATTTTTTGAGGGCGAATCCCTAAGGTTGTCATCGCCTTTTGGCGTGTCAATCTTAGGGATAGGGATACGCTCGAGGCTGGCAAGGGGCTGGCCGTAGCGTGCGGATCCCGACTCTGCCGCCCCAGACTGCGCGTGCCATCTGGGGTTGGAGGCGGCCACGAGGTCCGAACTGGCTGGGTCCCCACAAAATCGGTCGGGAGGGGGGGACGGAGCCGAACCCCTTCAAAATCGGTTCCCGGGCCCTTCTCGCTGTCCATCTGTTGCAATTTTTCACCCTGGATCTGATCCTGGCGGCCCCGGGGCCCGAAGACGGCCCCCGGGGCAGAAAAACACAAAAACCGTCCCGAACCAAAACCTAAGACCTGTCCGGAACCAATGCTGGGCTATCTCAGGCTCCCAGCCGGCTCCAAATCAGGGGTCCCATCAGGGCGGCAGCCCCGCGGCTGCGCAAACCTCTGGGATCCCCTGTGGGACCATGTGGCTTCCCCGGCTTTCTCGGATTGCAACAAAAGTCACGATGGGACAAGTTTTGGAACCTTTCGGCTTCTGGGGCCCCCAAATCGCGAAAACGCCCGTGGCGGGCCCCGCGACCCCCTCCCTCCCCCCTTTACTGGTGACGTCACGACTCTGGACAGGCAGTGTGAGCAGCGGCGGCAAGAGCAGGAAGAGGAAAAAGGAGAGTTCTACGAACCGAGCAATTATTGAGCTTTTTCGTGGGGCTGTGCGTGACGTTGGAGGGAAGTCCGCTCGCGTAGGAAGCACCCCCCCACTCCTGCAATCAACCGATCAATCTGGCAATCGCAGTTCTTCCGCGTCGAGCACGGGCGACAACGGGGAAACTCCAAACCAAGAGAAACACGGCACACATTGCTCTCAATCTGCCCAGCGACTCTTTCCCCCCCGCGCTCACTGCTCATGACATCTGGAGGGGAGCATACCATTACAAAACACAACGTCCCAGTCCTCGCGAGAACCCAAGCATAGGACACCACTGATGCAAGACGGGCCAATGAAATGTGCGGAGCACTCGAGCACTTAGGATTAAGAAACATATTGCGAGTGGGCGGCACAACATCTTCGTGTTGCACCACAACTTCGGCAAGGCACATGTTCACCACTCATGTCGCGACCTCTTCCAGCAGAACGAGGAGGCCCTGCTTGTCTATACTCTGCGGGTCAAGCTCTTTGGACTGCAACTGCTGTGGCACCACCCAATCCTTTGTCTTGGGCACGTTCCACGTTGGCGGCGGCGCATCGATATCCGCAATGAGGCCCTGCCTGGCATTAAAGTCTGTGTATCTGCAGTAGGCAGCAACGCGGAGCGTGGTCGCAGGGGCATTGACCTGAGCCTGCCCGTGCTTCGTGACGGGCACCTCGGCGGCCTGTTGATCAGGGGATGGCATCCTCCTCCTCCTCCTCCAACTCCCCCTCCGCAACCTCCCCCTGTGAGAAACACCTCGTGTAATAGAGCATCGTGTGGCACTTGTGCTGTAACTGCCTGCATGTAGTGGGCTGGTGCGGGTCCTCCTGTGAGCAATTTTCCATGTGACAGAGCCCGTTCGGTGAACATCGAAGAGGAAAGTAGGTGCTCAAGCTGGTGCATGTTTGCTCGGGCGTGCTTGCCATACTCGGGTTAGCTCGAGAACGCGCTGTCTCGTGCCAATCTCTGTTTGTTCTGATTCCAGCGGCCAGAAACTTATCGAGAGCATTCGTTATTCAAATTGCTTCTGGCGGCATTGCAGTGCTCGAGTGTTTTGATTGGCATGTGTGGCGGAGCTCCGAAGCACGCCAATCTAGGGCTCACCTGGTGGTACCTTACAGCTGCAGCGCGGTCGGCTGCATCATCAGCAACACAGGACCCAAGCACTGACTCCAAGGGACAAGGCTACGACAACAAGGTCGAATCCAATTGCCGACCACAAACCTTGACGGAAGAAGGCAGGTGGAGCTCTGCGCGGCACAAGCGTCAATCATGAAGAGTGTGTGGCAAAGTGCAGGAATGAGCCATAGGCAACAGTTAGTCTGCCCAGAGAGCAGATTCATTCTTCGTGGTCCCGACGTACGCACACCACATTCTCTGTTCTGGCAGAAGCGGCTTCGCACTTCACTTTTCGGCGCTGGACAAAACTCCCTTTAATAGACCTCCCTTTAGTGAAAACGGCCTGGGACCGAAACCGACGGACCTGGACCCGCAAAAATGACGGCCGCGACGCCTCTCGCGAACCGAAAACGGCCAATTCCTTAATCGACGTGTCAGGGTAGGAGGTCAATCAACCTCCGAACTTTACGAGCCCATGCCTCACCTCTATCCCTCTCATATCTCAGCTCTGCGCAGCATAACGGATGCGCGGCAGAGGTCGCAGTGCACGATCTGTCCTGGCCTTCCCAGCCTCCCTTGCCCGGAGCCGCCCACCATATCATCATAGTCGAGGCACGTCGGCGGCCGTGCAGTTGTACGCGAGAACACGCGTGCCTCTGGGCTCGGCATCACAACGCTCCGAGGTAACAACGCGAACAGCACGAAGGTCCGATGGCACTCGGGGCCTCACGTCAGGCCTTCCGCCGCCAGACTGCCCACGAACGCCGACCACGACAGCCGTGGCACGGTGGACATCGACCAGTGTCTCGGCCAACGCCCACATGCGTGCGTGCACGGACGTGCGCGTCGCAGCAGCCTGGGCTTGAGAGCGCTCGCGCGCGTATGCCGCAACCTGGTCATCAAAACTACGTGTGCCAGTCCCCGCGGGTGCGGCTCGCGCCACTCGCGGCAGCGACGCTGGCGAGCGGACGCCGCTCCAGACGACCAAGTCCGTGCGCGGGCGATTTGGATAGAAAAACTCCTCCGCCTCCGCCTTCTCATCCGCCCCCTCCCTCTCCTCCTGCTCTTCCTCCGGCCAGATCACCGGGGGACCCTAGTCAGCACCCCCTCTGGGGGTCTCCAAGGGAGCGGGAGAGACCTTCCCTCTCCCCCGTTCCCTCCCCCTCCCCCTCCCCCTCCCCCTCCTCTTCGTCCTCCCTCTCCCCATCCTCTGCGCCCTCCCCCTCCTGTTCGCCCTTCCCCCTCCCCCTCCCCCCTCCCCCCTCCCCATCCCCTCCCCATCCCTCGAAGGGGATCTGGCCGTGGCCGCGGCGGGAAGCCGCCCGGGGACCAGAAGGGGTGAAAGCGCCAGAGATTCGTCGATCCTCGCAGTTCGATCACCGCTTGTCGAAGCCCGAGCCCTGGCGAACCGTCCCTGGGATCGTCGAAGCTCGATCCCCGAGAGCAGAGGCTCGATGCTCGATCGTCGGAGCTCGAGCACATCCCCTCTGGTGTCAATGAAGGGGCCTTGGGACACACAAACAAATACACACAAATAAAAAGATTCCCCATGTGTTCCCATGTTTTCTGGGTTTTCTTCTTCCCCCCCGCTCCCCATATTTTCCCATATTTTGGGGGAATCGACGATTCATTGTGTCTGTGTGTTTCTTTCCCTCCTGAGTCAAGGAAATCTGCCTGCCACTCCCCCGGAGCCCGAGGCGGCTGGGGGAGCACCCCTTTTTCGGGGCCCCGTCATGCCTTCCCGTGGCCGCACAGGACGACCTCGTGCTGCTCGGGGAAGTCCGAGAAGTCGGAGAGGCCGCGGGCGGAGACGGCCCTCACCTCGCGCCCGCCGGGGGGGGAGGAGGGTGCAGCCGAGGCTGCATCTTCGGGGGGCCTGGTTCGCCCTGCACGCTGCTGCCTCCTGTCCTGCAGGGTGCTGTCCTTTCCTGCGCCCGACGCGGGTTCGACGCCGACTCGGCGCGGATCTGGCGTGGACTCGGCGAGCTCAACACGGATCCGGCGCGGATGGCGATGCGATGGGACCGACGGGGACCCCCCGAGGTTGCTACAGAGGGGCAGGCAGGAGGAGGACCGAGACTCGCCAGCAGGCGAAAGGCGATATTGCATCACAGCATGAGAGAAATCTGGCCATCCCTCGGACGTCCATTCCCTGTGCTTTTTTCGGTTTCGTACGTGGTTGTTCGCCAAATGATCAAGAATGTTCCTCGATGGTCCTCGCCGAAGGAAACATGCACACGTCCGAGCGATGCCAAGAAATCGGGAGAATAAAACACAGAACCGAAGTTTCGACCGTTCGGGCGGAGATGTCCGTCCGGGCGCGCGGGGTACGAGCGCCCGCCGCGCCCACCCCGTGTGGCTGGAGATGATGCCGCTTGAGGAGCACGAGTCGGGGCAATCCTCCCCCCATGGCGCGGTCTCGAGGCCCACGACTGGAAAAAAAACAAGGGAGTGGGTGAGTGAGAGAGAAACAGAGAGGGAGAGAGAGAGAGAGAGAACAAAAAAAGATGGAGAGAGAACAAAGAGAGAGGGAGAGAGAGAGGAGGAGGAGGAGGAGCATGAAAGAAATCGGGAGAATAAACACAGAACAGAGGTTGCGACCGTTCGGGCGGAGACGTCCGTCTGGGCGCGCGGGCTACGAGCGCCCGCCGCGCCCACCTCGTGTGGCTGGAGCTGCCGCTTGCGGAGCACGAGTCGGGGCAATCCTCCCCCCCCATGGCGCGGCCTCGAGGCCCACGACTGACAAAAAAAACAAGAGAGCGAGTGAGTGAGAGAGAAACAGAGAGAGAGAGAGAGAACAAAAAAATATGGAGAGAGAGGAGGAGGAGGAGGAGGAGGAGGAGGAGGAGGAGGAGGAGGAGGGAAGAGGAGGGCGGAGGAGGAGGAAGAGGAGGAGGAGGAGGAGGGCGGAGGAGGAGGAGGAGGAGGGAGGAGGAGGAGAGACGTCTGCGCCCTGCGGGCGCCCGCCCCGGGGGCGGTCGGACAATTGTTTACATCTTGCGGCGGCACCCTGGGGCTGCACACGCTCCAGAGCTGCCCGGGGGCAGTGCCCCCTCCACGGCGGAGGCGCTTTACAGTCGAGGCGTTGACCTGAGAGGAACCCTAAAGAAGGAACGAGGCCCCTTTTTGTTCCAGAAGCTGACCTGCGATTTCCGATCGGATGCCGAAGGAAGACCTTGGGCAAGCTGTGGAACACGTAGGGAACGCGGAGCCCCTCCCCAATCAAAAAGGGTTCCTTCTTCAGGGCCCCGACTGTACTCGGGAGCGGCCAAGAGGGGGGTGTCCAAGAGGGGGGGGTGCAAATCATGACCGGCGGCATGTGCGCGGCCCAGCGGGGGGGCCAGGGACGTAATGAAACAAGAAGAGGCGCCATGAAATCTGGGGAGATATCATGGCCCACGCCATGATATCCCCCCCCCCTAAGGCATCACCCCCCTCTTTTCCGCCCCCGACTGTGCACGCCCCGGCTGCCCGGGGGCAGTGCCCCCTCCACGGCGGACTGCGCTTCGCGGATGCTCTCCTCCGGCGAGCCGCTCGGGATCCAGGTCCGAGGGTCGGGGCTCTCTGGGCGGCTTCCCGCCGTGACCTGGGCCTCCGGGAGGCCTCCCGTTGACCACGGCCAGATCCGCTCCGAAGTCGTTGTCGGAACGCATTGCAAGTCAAGGGAGGGGGAGGAAGAGGAGGAGGAAAAGTCAAGGGAGGAGGAGGAAGAGGAGGAGGAGGAAAAGGAGGAGGAAAAGTCAAGGGAGGAGGAAAAGGAGGAGGAGGAAAAGTCAAGGGAGGAGGAGGAAAAGGAGGAGGAGGAGGACAGAGGAACCCTATCGAGTCGTGAACAACGATACGACGTATGTCTTTGTGCGATGCTCGCCCTCTGGCGGCCCTCACCGGGCCCCAGGACCACAAACAAACTACTAGGAATGACAAGCTGGTTCTGGAGCAGGGGTCCAAACGTCCGGGAGTCCACGTTGTGAAACAATCAGGCGTCGAGGGTCTTGGAGAGGGTAAGGGGGGGATAGGGAGGATGTTGAGCAAGAGGAGAAGGAGGGTGAGCAGGTTGACAAAGGGGATGAAGAGCAACATGATGTGGAACAGCAGCATCAGAAGAAATAGTACCACCACACAACCTCACAGACATAAACACTCGGAGGTCTGCGCAGACCGAATACATGTCGCGTGGATATCCAACAAGTGCGGTACATGGCATCTTCCCCCGTAGCAGCACGTGCCGCAAGAGTTCTCTGCGGTTTGGGAGTGCGCACCGACGGAGGCAACGGACGACGGCGCAAGGTACTGCGCGACGGGTGGGCCGTTCAGGGAACCCTGGACCCCAAGCAGTTGCCATCTCTTTGTGGGTGGCTAAGCGCATTCCACTACTCGCACATGGCCTGGGTCCGCCGCGGGGCATCGATACATTGCACAGAGGAAGACATTTGTTTTCGCACTTTTGCCAGTACAGAAGAAAAGAAAACCACATAAACAGAAACTTTTGGCTCTCCGCGCGGATTTCTTGGATCCGCGCCGGACCCCCCTCCCTGGCGAGCGGAGCGCGCCAGGAGCGGCGCCGGAGGCGCCGCCAGGGGGGCCCAGCGCGGATCCAAGAAATCCGCGCGGAGCGCCAAAAGTTTATGGTTATTTGGTCTTCTTCTTCGACAGTCGGCACTTTGCGAGTCGTGGAGCGCGCCCAGTGAGCGGGACGAGACTTTGCTTCCGCCGCCCCCCGCTGGCCTGCTGCCGGCGGAACGGCCCTCGCTTTACCTCCACTCCTTCCCCCGGCCTTCCCCAAGGCCGCGCTAACGGCGATGTTGGTTGACGGCGACGTTGGGAATCCGGCTTTTGCGACGCCGAGCTCGCGCAGAACAGATTATAGGAAATCGCGAACCACACTCTCCTGCACTTCAAATGGGCGAATGTATCGAGCGAAGACGACGCAGCGAATTGTAGGAAAGCACGAACCACGATGTCCTACAAGACTGGTTTGGCCACGAACCAGTCCCACCCACAATGCCGAAACCTACAACGCCGTTACCTACATCGCCGTTAGCGCGTCTACAGCTTCCGCCGGGGAAGAGGTGACAACTCGTCCGATCCTCGGAAGCGAGGCTCTTCCTCGAGCGACCCATACGACGCAATGGTGCATCCACTGGGGAAACTGACGACGAGGTGGCTTGCGGGGTGCTTCGCGCAACCTTTGCCCCATCCGACGGCACAAGGGCATACCCACTGAGGCAACGCACGGCTTGGCCTGCACACTGCTACACCCTCTGAGGCAACGGAGGATTTGGTGGCTCACGGGGTGCTTGGCCCCAAATCTAGTAAAGCCTATGGCGCAATGGGGAACCCACTAAGACAACCGACGATTCGGTGGCTTGCGGGGTGCCTGGCGCAACCTATGCGGCAATCTATGGCGCAATTGTGCTCTTACTGAGGCGCCGGACGATTTAGTGGGCACAGTTGTACACCATCTGAGGCAACGGGCAATTTCGCTGTTTGCGAGGTACTCAGGGCAACCTGTATCACAACCTATGGTGCAATGCTACGCCCACTTGCTGGATTGCGGGGTGCCTGGTGCAATCTATAGCGCAACCTATTGCCCAACGTATGGTGTAGTTGTACTTCCACCGGGGCAACGGACGATGAGATCGCTGGCGGGGTACGTAGCGCAAGATAGTGCGCAACCGATGGCGCAACGCATGGCGCAATGATGCCCGCACGAGGAAATGGAGGATGTTGTGGCTTACGAGGTGCCTGTCCAAATCTATGCATGGCATATCACATGATACAACCTTTGGCGCATTCCATGGCACTTACTGTTTACGGCCTCTTGGCAGGGGAAAGTTTCGTCTTCTAGGAGCCAGAAGAAATATCTCACCTTGTACACTACTGGCAAGAGCTCGCCGCCCTCTCTGGTAGGGTCCTTGGCAGAGTCTACGGCCGCCGTGTAGGCGAGGCTGCGGTCCAAGGTGCACATGGTGAGGCCGGGCCAACACACGGACTGCCCCGGGCGCTTCTGGAAGAGCCTCGCGAGCTCATCCCTGCTGTGAGCGCACCCTCGATACAGCGTCCTCGCCAGAGTTGCAGAATGCACATTCCCTACTTATCATGCTTCCCTCCTTGTCTTTCCTTTCTTTTGGTTTTTCCGCTGCTGCCCTGGAAGCCAGTGCGCAGCGGACGAAGGTTTCCAGAGTTCTGATCGGCGGCGGGCGAGGGGGGAAATCAGAAGGAGAAAGCCCTCTCGGAACGCGGCGAGACTTCTGTGTGTGTGTGCGGGAAAGGCTTATTAGCAAACTCCTCAGACGTCCGGGGGAAGTCCGCGCCTTCTGAGACAACTCGCCCTTTCTCACTTCCCCCCCTCGCTCGCCGCCGAAGTGAGACGTTCGGAGGTGCGAGCGGAGCTTTCGGGTCGGCGTTGGGCCCCCCTCCCAACACCCCTGGGGCGCCCCACACACTGCCCCTCGGCGCGCTCCGCGCGCCAAGGAAGAGGTGTGGGGTTGGGAGTCCACCGCCGACCCGGGAAACACTCGCGGACCTCCGAAATCCATGCCTCATGCAATGCTTTCTGGTTGTGCGTGTGTGTGAAAGTGCGTGAATGTGTGTGAATGTGTGCGAATGTGCGTGAATGCGTGTGTGAATGTGTGCGACTGTGCGTGAACGTGTGTGAAGGTGTGTGAATGTGTGTGAATGTGTGTGAATGTGTGAATGTGTGTGAATGTGTGTGTGTGAATGTGTGTGAATGTGTGTGAATGTGTCCGAATGTGTGTGAATGTGTGTGTGAATGTGTGTGAATGTGTGTGAATGTGTGTGAATGTGTGTGAATGTGTGCGAATGTGTCTGAATGTGTGTGAATGTGTGTGTAAATGTGTGTGAATGTGTGTCTGTGAATGTGTGTGTGTGCGAATGTGTGTGAATGTGTGTGTGTGAATGTGTGTGTGAATGTGTGTGAATGTGTGTGAATGTGCGTGAATGGGTGTGTGAATGTGCGTGAACGTGTGTGTGTGTGTGTGTGAATGTGTGTGTCCATGTGTGTGCGAATGTGTGTGAATGTGTGCGTGTGTGAATGTGTGTGACTGTGTGTGTGTGAACGTGTGTGAATGTGTGAATGTGTGTGAATGTGTGTGAATGTGTGCGTGAATGTGTGTTTCCATGTGTGTGAATGTGTGTGTGAATGTGTGTGAATGTGTGTGTGAATGTGTGCGTGTGAATGTGTGTGTGAATGTCTGTGTGAATGTGTGTGGATGTGTGCGAATGTGTGTGAATGTGTGTGTGAGCGTGTGTGTGAATGTGTGTGTGAATCTGTGTGTGAATATGTGTGAATGTGTGTGTGAATGTGTGTGTGAATGTGTGTGAATGTGTGTGAATGTGTGTGTGAATGTGTGTGAATGTGTGTGTGAATGTGTGTGTGTGAATGTGTGTGTGAATGTGTGTGAATGTGTGTGAATGTGTGTGAATGTGTGAATGTGTGTGGATGCGTGTGAATGTATGTGAATGTGTGTGGATGTTTGTGTGAATGTGTGTGAATGCGTGTGAATGTGTGTGAATGTGTGTGAATGTGTGTGAATGTTTGTGTTTGTGTGTGAATGTGTGTGTGGATGTGTGTGAATGTGTGTGGCTGTGTGTGAATGTGCATGTGTGTGAATGTGTGTGAATGAATGTGCAATTCAGGCTTCGCGCGGCCCGCTTAGTCTCGACAGGAAGAGGTGCGCTCTCGACCCGCGAATCAAAAAAATGTGTATGAATGAATGTGTGTGAATGTGTGTGAATGTGTGTGAATGTGTGTGTGAATGTGTGTGAATGTGTGTGTGAGTGTGTCTGTGAATGTGTGAATGTGTGTGTACGTGTGTGTATGTGTGTATGTGTGTGTGGGTGCGTGCGTGCGTGCGTGCGTGCGTGCGTGCGTGGGTGTGTGCGTGTGCGCGGGTGTGCGTGGGTGTGCGTGGGTGTGCGTGGGTGTGCGTGGGTGTGCGTGGGTGTGCGTGGGTGTGCGTGGGTGTGCGTGGGTGTGGGTGTGGGTGTGTGTGGGCGTGTGTGTGTGTGTGTGTGGGTGTGTGTGGGTGTGTTTGGATGTGTGTGGGTG